AGTAATATTTACTTTTGATTAAGTCATTAACTGCTTTCGTATTATCGAGTTTCGTTACCAAACAGTACATAGTATTTTCTACAAAAAATAAAACGTTAGTTCCAATATAAATTGTAATGTTAATAGCGGAAAAAATGTACTATTGATACACGTAGTACTTATTTTAAATTCATAGGAAATGATTATTTTCTTTATAATTTAATGGTGTGAATTTTGCAGTTAATACCGATGGACATAGAAAATAAAAAGAGGTCACTGATCAATAAACTAGGAATTTTATGCGTTTATGATATCTATGATAAATGACTGACGTGGAAACATTGATCAACTGTAATGAAGTTTCCATTTTGCTGTGATCTAAATAAGTTTGTTTACTGTCGCTGTTTTTATTGTGCGCACTTTACTCAATAAGCAAAGTTCTACGAGCTATTACTAGATCTTAATTCTCTTTAATTCGTTCCGATATCGTTCCAGATAGTGATCTGTTTCTCTTAGATTATTGTGACGCCTACTTGTTTTACATCACTTAATTTCAGCCAATTGCGAGTTCTATTTCTCATCTTTCTAAGAACCGCTGAACTGCATCGTAGGCAACATGATTCTTCAATTTATCGATGGAAAATTCTGTCCCGAGCGAGATATGTGTCTTTAGAAAAATGCTGTGTGCCTCGAAGCACTGTGCCAGAAACTGTAAGAGAATTCTTTAGATGATTTAAGAAGAATGTTTCTTTAAATGATTTATATGAGCAGAATATTGTTTAGTATTAACGCCTTATTTACTGATCACAGATTACTCTATATTTTCAGTTTGCTTTTCCACCAAGGTGGTAATCACCAACATAATCATGTCATGCTGAAATAGAGAAATTTAATTTTTTGACAAAATAATTGCTTCATTTAATATTATAATATCATAATGTAATAAATAATATAATGTTATAATATAAATCTTTATATAATAGAAACTTTAGGTGCCACTTTATAAGATCATTACTTATATACAAAATAGCTAAGTATAAAATATTAATATCGAAAACATCGTATTATTTGCTTTGTGAATATTACATAATAATTTAAAATAGAATATATACCTTTACTTTTTCACTTTTTAAAGTTCGTCAATATTTAAATAATTATATCTTTAAAAATTCCATTGAATAAAATATCGAATTCGCAGTCATAGGTGTAATATTCTGAAAAATAGAAAAGATAAATTATCCGAGAAGAGAGTTGCACATCACAAAAGTGAAACATTTTTTTAACAGTTTCTTTTGTTGTCTTTCGAAAAGGTTTCGAGGCTAATGCTTGGCCGCTTCTAGGAACCTGTTTATCGTTAAAAAAAGCTTAATCACCGAAGACGCTTATTGAACTTCCGCCGGGTTTTTCTTCTACGTCCTCGTTATTACATAATGCGAGTCTGGTGAATGATTCGTCTTAAACGTCCAAGGCAACGGATTACTGCAATTTATCGTATCACTTGATACGCGATGACTAATAAACAGAATGTAATGTTATGCAACGCCGTGTGTACGAGGGTCATTGGTCATTCAACCTAGTATAGCATTGACACAATGTAATCACTGATTGGGCTACGGTAACATACGGACTAACATGATTACCTTGGTACTTAAGCAGTGTGTGAAAGTGCAAATAATTTGCGTAATTTTGTAACGGAACAACTTTTCGTTGATATCGAAATTCGACAATTTATCGTTAACTTTCAACCAATCTTCGTGCATACTTTGCAGCTGGTAATAATTTGGCCAAAAAATCGTTGCAGGTGTTTATCGCGTCTTATCCTTTGAAATCGAATATTTTTACTAAAAAAATTTAGAAGGTGCGAAATGTACCGTTTCAATATTATCGTTCAAATAGTACGTGATAAATAATACATGAATATGTGTGTACTCTCCTACGAACTTCTAAACACGTTAATACCACAAACAGAGTTGTTAATACATTACACATATAGTCTCTTCGCGTTTGTAATCAGCGAAAGTCAGACACTTTGTGTATGCAGCTATGATGTTTAATTTATATGCCAACATATAGCTTTGGAAATCTTGACAGTGTAGAATTACATAAAAGTTGAGAGAGATTAACGAAACTGTTCAATTAGTAGCTCAGCCTGAAGATGAAATTTTTTAATATTCTTCAAGGTTATACAATGTATTTCATAATATCTTTTTTTAATAATTTCAGTAAAGAATTATCGAATAACTATAACTATATTTTTCAAACATTGAATTTTTTCATTCATAAAGAAAGAAAACAATGATATCAATTCCTCAAAGATGAATCTTGCATATAACTCGACAATTAGAAAAATAACTTAAACACGAAGAAAAATATTTTGAAATTAAAGACTATCTAAGAGCCCCTAGTTTACGCAAACAGATCTGTTATCGTCGATACTTTCGATTCAGATATTCATTTATTCTTTTGATAAAGGCGTACCGCTGTACGCTCATTAGTATAATGCTCGACGTACTACAATTTGCGTAATGTATCTTAATAAATTCAATTGTTCCTGCTAAGCAGATGCCTGTCAATGTAACAACAATGTAACGCTAACCTGCGCGACAAACATCAAGACCAAGCACCGGGTCTTCCATATAAAAGTACGTGCGGGACCTAAGCATTGCGTCTAACGACATGGATCGCATTACGGAGCGTGAATCACTTAATATTAATATAGTACAGTCACATAGTACGGCAAACATAGACAACAACTACAACCGCGAGTGATACGATGATTGCTCCGATCGTGGCTTGTACGTGCGCTAAGAACCCTAGAGCAGACGCGCGTCCGCCATTTTGAGCGCCAAACAACCGTTTGACAAATAGATATGCCCTCGACCATGCTCGGCTATATAAGAATGCGTCATTATGACTCTGAAAAGGTTAGCTTAGGCATACTTCACGAATTTTGTAAGATTAATGGTTAATAAGTATACCGCGGATTTGTCTACGTTTATCGGAAAATCGGAAGTGCAAGTTGCATATAATGATATCTATAATATATGATACATATACAAGATATTTAAAGTACAGTGCTTTTTATGATGTTTTTTGGGAAACATTTTTTATCGTAATTCTATTTTTTAAATTACATTCTTAAAGATTTTAATTTATTTAAAAGTCCCGAGTCTATTAATAAATGTACCACTATGTAACATCTAACATTTCCTTTCATTTGATGTTATTCAAATTTCGAATAGTTTTGAAAATTTCTCTTATGATGTATGAGAATTTCGATGAACAACGCCTGATTAACTGCATCGTAAATTTGATTAAGTGACAGTTATCCAATGAAATTCCTCATTCTTATTTTTATATCTTGATTCTTTTAAAAATTCCCCATGATGGTACAGTTGCCAATTATCATAAGATAACATTGACATTAAAACTACTGGACGGGTCAAATTGACCCATTTGAGAGTTTCTATTTTACAAGTATTCAAATTATGAAGGTGCATTTACGAAAAATATTTAATTAAATTTGTGCATTTGCACAGATACAAGACTAGGCGGCTCTTCGAATCTCAAGAAATATATTGTTTTAATTTTTATAAAAAATTAAAAATTAGTCTCTTCAACTGCTCGGTAGTTTTAGTGTTAAACAAAAATATTGTATGAAAAGAAAATTACTACAACGCGTAATTAAAGATACTATAAACTTTCGGTACATTTTACACGTATAAACACGTCCTTGCACACGTTGACACGTTAAAATTTCATATTCGACGCACAATGACCGATGAACCTACTGGATTAGCAGGAAATTGAAAGACACGCCGCGTTACACGTAGAAACCCGTACTCGTATTTACATACGCTCGTAGAATATACACGAAACGGGAAAAAATGAAAGCAATATCCGCTCGTGGCCGGGAAATAATTAATTTTCAACGATATGGAACCTGTCGTTCGAACGCTTTCGTTAGTCACCGTGTGCTGCTTCCATATTTTGACAGTTTCGCCGACACAGGCGCACACCGACGCACACGCACACGCGCGCATCCGCAGTCTAATGAGAACGAATGGTATTGAAAGAGACTGGCTAGTAGTAGAAGGCTGCTGTGACGAGGCAGAAACGAGAGACAGGTTCAATCGTCGAATTAGACGCGCTCTGTCCTCGTCCACTGACAATGAGTAGTTTCATGCGGAGACTCGCTCGCAGACACGATTACTGCAATAATATATCGTTACACCTACTTGGGTCAATGGCCCACTTCTCACGGGGGATCGTGTAATGTATTGCTCATTTTTCATTCTGCCAGTCGTCAACGCGTACGCGGCCCGATGAAACATTACGCAATTCGTGCATTGACCGTCCACGTAGAGATAAATAATCACGCGGTAGCTGACCGACAGAATTTAGACGTCCCGTTCCTCTTTTTCCCCTGAACCCCTTCCGGCATGTTCTGAATCTAACGCAACGCTGCTCTAATTGAAAGATACTGTGTGATCCGTGGCCTCGTGTAGCCCTGTAATGTAGCTACCCTTGGATTTGTAATTGTGAAAGTTAATATTTCAATGTACTGAGGTCGATAGTGTGTGTTGTGTATTAGAAAATCAAAGAATAAGAAAAGAGAATGTTAAGTTCTGTTAAACTAAGCATTAGGTGTGCAAACGAATTTGGTATTTTAAAGTGAATTCACATTTCATTGACATAACTCGAATTGAAAGACTATGTCAAGGACAGGGAATTACATTCTATATTATACAAAATTAAATATCAAACTAAAGAAGTTTACGCAAACCTATATTTGGTATTTAAATGAAATTTTAAAATATTGAAGTAATACATTATGAAGCTTGCACTTTGCAATCTTCTAAAAATTGAACTTTCAATTTCTAAGGATCATTTCGTAAAAGTAAACTACATAGGGCTCCTATTACCTCTCAATTATGTTCAAATGTTCGAATTTGCTATGGGGAATAGTGTCTATTCGATTGTGAATGAAATGTTAACCACGTGGTGTTTTTTGTGTACAGAGAACGCAGACTGTACCACGATTCGTTGCCGTGAGGGGCAGACGTGTCTGTCGGAAATGAAGTCGGGCCGACCACGTTGCGTGACCTGCACCTATCGTTGTCCCCGGAAGCGGGAGCGAGTCCGGAACCGGACACACCGTGATCGAGATCCATCGGCGACCATGTTGTGCGCCACCAACAATATCACCTATCCCAGTTGGTGTCACATCGTCAAGGACGCCTGCGTTACCGGCTTCGTCCTCGAGACGCGACACGCCGGCCCCTGCAACGCCTACGACACCTCTCCTCTTTACATTGGTGAGTCCGCGACACACGGTTACGTAGACAACATACGATCCTAGTTAATGAATGCCAGTGGACCTTCCTAACTAACGATTGACCCTAGACAGTGTAAGGGAGAGGCTTCTTGAGCTCATCACTCTTATACTGTTAGAAATATGATGTCCTATCTCTTGTAATATGTTTGAAAGGAATTCTTAATTATTTTGTTTCTTCTATTATGAATTCCTTAAGGAAATTTATGTTCAAGCGTGCTGTTGAAGTTGTTTAAAATATTTGAAAGAAATTGTTAATTATTTTCTTTATACTATTATGAATTCCTTGAAGTTTACATTACTCTTTTGATCTTGTGAAACTCAATTTTCTTTAGTTTGAAAGGAAAGTTAATTTATAGAATAGATAGATTAGCATTCAATTTTGATGAAAGTGGTTGTGTCAACAATAATTGATAGGACAAACTGAATAATAGGTTTAACAAATAATTATACTTTTAATAGATAGGATTAGATGATTAAAAGAAAAAAAACGATTCCATATATTGTTTGCAAATACTGTCATTTCTCCATGAAAATTTTCGAAGAACATTACCTTAAGTATTCTGCTGTACCTATCTTAAACGAAACAAATTTTAAACAATCTTAAACAATTATATACCTCCTAAAACGCATAAACATTAAACACATATTCCTCCAAAAAAATCGAAGTACTTTATGCCACGTTTGAATTTCTCAAAACAATCTGGCAATTTCATTCACTTATATAAATCAACATTTCACCTAGAACGAGGCATCTAATATTTCACCTAACAACATCACATGTATTCGCAAGCACACCTCACTGCACACGGGAAATGTTCGTTGTAAATAATATCGAGGCAGAATCAATTTCGCTTGGTTACACGTTTTTCGAACGGGCGGGGATTGGGATTATTCATACCTGTTCATTCGCGGGCTGACTAGAATGCTGGAAAATAATATTCATCCCGCGGACGGCCCATAACTTGTCTAAGGTATACCGGTAGAAAAAGATGTACCAGGAATATATATTTCCTGGCCATTCAGTACCAACATAGTCTCGAGTTAAAAGCGGGGTGGGAGCAGTCGCCGCAGGTAAAGCAGCGACAGACAAACAAAGAAAGAAAGAAACGAGCCATCGAATCGTTTTTCATCGCGATCCAACGGAATGTTCGCCCCGGACCGGATGATAACAGCGCTGTCCGTCGACACTTCCATTCCGATTTGATTTCGCATTTAGTCGGGGAACCGCTGGTGCCGATGGCGGCCCGGCGTTTCCCATACCGTGATAAAGCGGCATACGCGTCTGGTCATTTATCTTTTTCTTTCGAAGGCGTGGACCATTCACGGGGCCGTCTGCGGGCCCGAGCGATCGTCGTAATCCACCGTGGAATTCGCCTTGTTCGAGTCGAGCCTCTGAGAATACACGGCGCCCACGCGCTCGCCTGTCTCGCCCGTTAAACACAGTCAATCGCGAAAACTCTGCGAAGGTCTAGTCGTGGAATTCTAGAGTTCCGGCCGCGAGGCGTTCACCGGTAGAGTCTCGTTTCTCATACGCTTCCTGCATTGTCGCGTTTTCTACGGCCGCAAAAGAACGGCCGGAGCACTTCACCTCGCTGAACTCGTTCCCCGGACTAAACCACATGGAAAGACTTCGCCACGGATCTTTCACACTCTTCAGCCTGAAACGACTTTGCTTTGAGATGTTTCGCGCTTTCAGCTGGACCCTTGTTGTATTTGTCACGACAGTGATCGGGTCGTGGTTGCCGTTGGAACGGTTTTTAAAGAAATCCGCGCAACGACGCTCGTTCAATTACACGAGATAAAAAGGGATGCATACAATTATGCTTTTATACGATTTCAATTGGACACTAATTATTGTTCTGTTTCCACGAGATTTTGGTTTAACGAATTAGGTTTCTCTTTTTACACGATTTCGATTTAACCACGAATTTTCTAATTCTAATTTTAATTCCGAATATCATTGGAAACAATGGGAAAATTTCAAATTTCAGTCTTATGTGAATGATGCAATAACATTTCCTTGGTATAATTTATAACGATTGGAATAAAACGAAGTCAGTGATGATTTTAATGCATTGACATTAAAGTCACAATATTATGGAATTTCATTGTATTTTTTATACTCTTGTGTTTTCCAATGTTTATATTCCATGCAAATATATGAAAATCTCCAGTTTATTAATAACAATGTATGTTAAACTTGCATCCTACTTATCCGGAATGATATTCAGTTGATTGATGTTAAAGATTTTTTCCAAGATCTACACAATTTCATTAAGTATATGTAATATGCATTAACATAAGAATTTAATAGGCATAAAAATACCTATTACTACAATTTTTGCAATTATTTACGAGACTGCTACTAATTAACTAAACTCATTGTATGGTGATTTTATATTCCTTGGGTGGTCCGGATACGAATAAAGTGCCGGGGATACACTTTTGTCTATCCCTGCTCGTTCTTATAGACGTAGAAACCTGTTGCATGTGGCGCAGAGATACGAAGCTTTACGCATCGGTTTATAGCATCCTAAATTAATTTTACCACTAAATTCACCATTTTATGTCGAATACGGCCTGTTATCTTTGAAATACACACATAATTTATAGAAAGTAGCGAATTATTTTATTGGTTGTATACGGTCTCCACCTCGGTATTTCACAAAAGAGAAAGCCACCTTACGCGAACTTTTCTTTTGCAATTATTATTAAATAAAACCGATTCGATGGCCATGATGTCCGATTACATGTAAACGTATAATTTCATTCGTGACACTGAACCGAATAATTTAATTAATGCGTCAGATGATGAATTTATTATCTGGCCTATATATAATATTATATTACAGGGTTTGTGTAAATGCTCATTATTATTCCGCATACATTAACATTTTCAATGGCCGTCTTCGTGTCCGACAATACGGTGAACGCGTTCCTTTTTCTGAATCATAATAGGGCGCAGCTGAACGCGGACTCTTCAATGCGGCAAACGTGCCTATATCGTAATTACATCAGAAAATGACACAATGACGGTTCACTGTTACGCAGATTATAACAGTGATCGTAATACGTTACTGAACAGGAGCTTTTCAATAGTTCGCATTGTCTTTACGCAGTAAACCATAAAAGCAGAGTAACGGTGCAACGTTTCGCGTTTCACAGAACCAGTCACGGGAAAATTGAACCCTGTGACATTCATTTTCCAACACCATGTTAATTTAAAGTAAAATTGAATTTAAATTGCAACAACAACGGAAGATATTTGACCTTGGAAATGAAAAACACTTTTAATATTCAAACACAACCTTTCTTTTATGTATTTAGTAATTTATGCCTAAAGTATTTATTCACTTTAATGAGCACTTAGTGTACTAGGAAGTATTAACGTACAATTTTAATTACTCTGCAATTGATTATAAAGAATTTCTTAAATAATTGCGAAACAGAATTATACCATACATGTATTTTGAGAAACAATCTAAAACGGTATCCATACAAAGAAAAAATTATTTTAAAAATGCTGGATTTCTCTCAACGCATATTCGAAAATTCGTCATTTAGTTCGTGCAGAAAATAAACGATTCCAAATCTACATCAATTACAACAAAATTTCCACCAAACATACTTTTTATGACAAAAACTACGTAAAATATATGTGGTTACTTAAAAGTTGGTTGTTCAGTGCAAGAAATATCAACCGGACGTGTTAAAATAAAACAAAAAAATTAACACTAACAAACATACGTAATAATCATCTTTTTCATTCCGTTCATTATTTCCATTCCAATAAAGAATACAATAATCATCCTTCGTCCTTTGATCTGTTACAGAAGAGGACAACACCTCGAGCAACTATGGCGTCGATCTGGCGGATGAGGACGCGAGATTCGAGGACGCTGAGTCCGAGTCCTTATCGTACAACGGGCAGACGCATCGTTCCATGGCGTTATCGTAGCGCGCGATCGATCGAGATCGCTCGATCCTCTTTGCCGCAAGATAAGTCGTAGATCTCTCTTCTATTCATTTTTCTCTCTCTCACT